TGGTTTTCACACTGGAAGCGTTTCTGTGTGTGGTTTTTCGGTAAATGACCTCGCAACGTTTGTGTAGTATAGGGAATCAGAATGAGCTGTGTTGAACCAATTGCATTTGTTATAATATAAGCATACATTTGCATACTAGAATGGTATGGTCGTAAACTGTAATCCGTCAAGGTTTACTCACTACTACGAGAATGCAATGGTTTTGATGAATGACATAACTAACCATTCCGACAATTGTCAAGGATGTCAACGGCACTCGATTTTGGAGGAATCATCTAAAATGGACTATAATTTACACGTTGCCTGCTACAGTGCATCTGATTCAATAGAAATCCACACAATAGGCGGTTGATATGCAAAATATGAAAAATAAGATGCAACACTCCTTGAAAGATTATATGGCGTTCAATATATTGCCTTTTCATTCGACTGTTTCTCGAAACTTTATTAAGAATTTATACTTTCTCACAGAATATTTTAAGCCTTTAATGAGGTCCAAAAACAGTCGAATGCAAAAGTATTATAATTAAAATTCCAGCCTTCAGCAGGTCACTGTCATTCGCTGCAATGTCTGGTGACCATGTCACTGAACATACCGTGATATGTTATCCCTAGGCGAAGTGAATTTCCACTTATGCTGTAACATGTTCGTCGACTACGACTCTTTGTATGGGGGCTCACCCTGAGAAGTACTGGACACACGAGAGGCACTGTGCGAATGACGAGGCTGCAAGGCCGAAGCACGTGCATAGCGCTATTTGAGTGCTCACAACAGACTTTATGAAAAGCTTAATATGCTGTAAGAATGTATTTCGCAAGCGTTTGTATGCCTCAAAACTCTTATAGCCTATTTTGAAGAAGAATTTGAGTCCCAATCAGTTTCCATTCAAGAAGTCGCGTGTTAACCGAGCTAAATTCCCTTCTCCTTAAGTAATCGTTCTATGGTTTCTAATTAATCAGCAAAAAGTACCTATTTCTATCGGTCGTAAGGAACTCCGCCTATTGTCAATATGTCCTTCCTAAAATGGCGACAATTCCTAGCGTTTCTTGCTTCGAACGGGTATACATGTGAAAAATTTGGAAAACATCACTTTTAGAAACGGTGACGGTTTTATGAATCTAGCTAGCAGTTATAATCATGGTATGACGCGTGGAAATATTTGAAGTGACTGCAGTACCGAACTAAGGTGTCCCATCATCGTGAATTAGATGATAATGAATTATCGATGTTGTTCTGGTGCATCGTAAACGCTTAAGATTTACCATATTCCACATCGTCCCAGGGAAGCTTCCATAGGGAAGCGATATTGTGTGTGCAGAAATCGGTCAACTTCACGTGGGACGTGAGAAACGCGTGGTCCACTGGGTTTTTGGGACAGTTGTAAGAATTTGAGGATTGAGAAATGTTTTTGAAGGGGAAATCCAAAGAGCTGTTTATTGTGCATAGATACTAGAGCGTCCATGCGAACAGTAGAATGTTAATGAAGGACTTCTACTTAGTAAGGTGTGGCAGATGTATCGTTTGGAAGAATATTTGTGCTTAGAATGCTTTTTTGGAGCTAAATGTTACTAAGAACTCCGTCATATTCTTTTGTTCATGAAACACGAGGTTGTTAATATACGTTTGCCGTTTATTTTATACGAAATACTACAACGGAGCTCGTATGAGTGGATAACGTTTCAGCATTTTCCATATAGCCGTTTCCGACGACCATGCAACTGTATTTCCTAGGTCTAGGTTTGGAGGGATGACGCACTGCCAAACGATAGTTCCTGCAAAATCAAAGCCCCGTTGAATTTTGTTTTATTTAAACGAGATAAAAACAATTATGAAACGCTGTTTGAAAAAAGCAGATTTGGAAAATCGGTAACTATTATTGAAATACCACCAATTAATATAAGGAACTAAGGAGCCAGCACATTTCCAATTGCTTATATGACCGTCTATGTAAAACGGAAGTATGCAAGATATGCCACAACGGTCGATACCGTGATTTCATAAGCATGGGTACAGTCTACCTAATCTGGTTTGAAACGTGCGGCGGTGTGTTTCTCGGGGAAATGGTAAGGCTATTCTATGTCCGTATGAAAAAACACTCAAACAAGAGAACTAAAATGATTTGACAACACCATTAAATGTGCGTATGGCATAGATGCACAAGGAGGTGAACTTTGAAGTAGGAATGTCCATCCTTTTACAGGAACGAGAGCTTCAGCGTACAAAATCCTCAAAGCTTCTTGGATTCAGATCAAAATCCGGTAATGCATAGAAAAGATGAATGCTTTGTGATCACGCGTGATTTGCGTCATGTGTCGGGTTGAATTTTGTGGATCCAACACAAATACATCGTTCTTTGCCCATGTAATACTCGGTGCGGCTGGTCTACACATTGACCAGTGGGCTAGTGAACAAAAAATACTTTGAGTAATTAATAAAAGCTGATTACTATACATTTCAACTTCCATGGTCTCATTTAGGTTTCATCTTAATTGGCTGTAAAAAGTGTTCATCGATATGAATTGCGTGTCAATTTTGGCTCTTTTAGGCCCAAAAGAAATTGAAACTGACGAACGTCAGCCGCTCATACGAGCTTTATCTCATTATTTCGTACAAAATAAACGTGTATCAATAACCTCGTGTTTGCTGAACAAAAGAAAGTTTATTCGATATCGAGGCTAATCGATAGTCGGCTTTGGGAATGTTAGTAATACATCATAATAGTATTAATAATAATGATACCAAAAACGGCAATTAATAATACATTAGAAGAAGGCAAATAGAACTGAAAACTGTCGCTCAAATGGTGTCACGCACATAGAAGACGTCTGAAATGGCAACCACCTCGAGGGCATTGATTAATAATAGATTTCTCACAGACCTTCAGGATCAAGGTGGAGAAATCTTTTTCTTTTAATAAAACGTCTGAAGTGGTTTTGTTGAGGACTGCAGAATGCATTGCAATGGGCTGGATAAGAGGCTGGTTGCGGTCATCATGAATGCCAGAGCCAATCGTTTTTTTTTTCATTTAAGAGTTCACTCTGTAGAATTAGAAACCTTAATCACTCAGGGAAAAATTCTATAATTCAATTGCTCATAATATTACTACGTGAAACTTTTCAACAGCCGATATCTCACGACCAGGTGATAACTCTCAAATTCACTTCATCGAAAAAATGAAAGCTTAAAAATTCTAAGAAGAAATGCTAAACAGTCATTGCCTAGAAAGTTCCCCACTGTTCTAGGAGACTTCAGTGTAAGGCTGTCTTATAAAATTGGCATATGGAGTAAGGAATCAATATCAGCTTTGGGAAGAAGAGTCAATACCAACCCTGAGCGCTGCTAACCAACAGGAAACGGCTATGACAATGGTTCATCAAACTCAATGTACTCGCAGTCTGTATTTGAACCAGCTTTTTGAGTGCCAATGCAAAAACTATATATCCAAGAATGTTGAATGCTATCGAAACTTCTGATCTCGGATGCGAATTGAGCCCACATCTCACCCTAACCAGAGGCGTCTGCTAACATCACTAGTGTGATTCCTGTTGTGCTACTACTTTTTTGCGAAGACATCGCAGTTGTCAGCAACCAACCGTCAATCGGTGGTGTGATAAGCGCGCATCGGCATCAAACCCAGTTGAACTGACAACTGTTTGATAAGCACAGTTTATAAAAGCTTCTAAATTCTATATTATCCTTAGCGGTATGATGGTTTGCATCTATATATCCAAAAAATGGTGAGTAATATTTATGTTCAGATCTCATGTTGGAGCTGAAGGCCTGGATCACTCTATTCGGTACTGCGATATATCATAAGGCGACGGCAGAAAGTAAGCTCAAATAGTGTAGTGGTTAGTACGCGTCTCGATTGGTTAGGAGTCAGGTTAAAGTTTCGGCAGAGCCACAGATTTTGCATACAGATCAACATTCTTGAGAATATACAGTCAGAGGACCATATAAGTGCTCACTTTATTGATCCGTCTTCACAATCTTTTTCCACTGTGCGGATTCCAGTACATCCAGTATTCAATTCGTTTTTTCGTCTTCATCTTGAATGTTGTAAAATATTGGCTGAGCACGTCCGTTTGCAATCTCGAGGATAACTTGGCCGTAACGTTCCATAAGGAGTTCGTTGTCCACTGAAGGAAAGTGTTTGGGAAGGGGGCGGGGGAGGGGGAGGAAGGTGTGGGGCGGGAGAAACTTACCTCGCGCGCGCGTCCAGGCGACCATCACAACCACTCGAAAACGGTGCCCCAAAATAGAGAGGATTGTTTTAAATTTTTAATCAAGACATTATTCCTTCAAACAGGTAAATTCATACTTCAGAACATAAATTGTATGTCAGAAATCAACAATCTTTCTAATATATTTTGCCAACTCTTCAATATCGTAGCTGCGGCGTTGCTGTGGCTGAGAGACGGCAAAACGTGAACAGAGTGTGTAACACGTGAGGTTTCGGTGTGGGTGATCATGGTTTCGAGACTATAACACGTATTCCCGGATCATACGCCACACCTTCATCATCCTACGTTTCGGACTCTTGTGAGCCCATTCAATTTGGCAAGGGAGCGCGTGCTCCTTACCGCACGGTTTGCAGTGATGGTGTCGACAGCGAACACCACCTTCACCGTTCCTGGTTGTGGTTGTTGAGAACTAAGCGCACGACGCACTTTGAGCTCAACTCACACAGCTTGGTGTGGCTTCGCGTAACTATCAAGCGAAAAGTACAGCGTTTTGCGACCGGCTTTTAACGAGTGTTTTCTTAGGTCCGCGCTCAAATTTCAACATGCCTGTAATCATGCAGTGGTGTTTTCACTTAACGTGTGGAATGTTCGTCGTCGCCTACTCTTAGTATGGGTCCTCTTATAATTCGAAAGGACTGACAAAAGGCGAAGGGTACCGCTCGACTGATGTGACTGTCAAGGTTAAAACACGTGTATCGGGAGGCAATAAGTTGTCCCACAGAACACCATATGCACGGCTCAAAAGATTATTGCGAGGCATATTGAGATTTGTGGTGTAGTGGTAGAGCACGCGTTCCCGGAGAGGATGAAACGCGGGTTCGATTCCCGCCTTAGGCCGTGTTTTCACTCACCACTCAATTCTCTTAGTTATGTTTCTGTTCTGTTCCAAGCGTAACAAAGCACAGAACCAGATTATTCTTTCGATCGATCAGTCCGCTTGACATTCAACAATATACTCGGCCTGCACATTAGACACATTATTCGTTACCTCGATTCAACCGCTACTGAGCACACTTTGATGTAGGAGAGGAGTCCAGTATCACTAAGCATATAAGGCACACTTGACATCTAGTGGACACCGCATTCCTCGAAAATGCTACAGATTCATGCTGACGCTTTGTGGAACGCTAAGTGAAGGTCCATTCCCTTAACATCTGTACATTTTGATCAGACTACCTAAGATTTAGCTCTTCCAGCTAAGTCATTCAATGGACATGGTGCCCAGATACGTCAATGAGCACTGCGATTCAAGAGGCGGTTCTAAATGGGCATAAGGATTTCAGGTGAATTCTTTAGAGACAAAAAGAGAATTATTATGCTACTAAAGATTTTTCGAAAATCGAACAAGTTCCTAACAAGCAAACTGTTATTGTAGTAAGAAGAATGATGCTTCAGATCGTTAGTAGCAAGAGGCTGCTACAAACTGAGAGTACGTAGGAATAAAGCGCTAATGGCTGCAAACATGCGTCTGATGATATGCCGTTTTGGTTTCTAGACTATTGTGTTAACAACTTCAGGCCTAACTCAAGTAATTCTCAAAATTACGATTGCATGACCGAGTTCTATGCCTACGATCACGTGAAAATCTGCGGCAAGAAAACTGTCACCACCAGAAAAAAGACCTGATTGTTGGGACTTCATAGAAAATAACCACATACTCGAAACGAATAGAATTTTACTTAATGGCTCGTTTGATGTTCAGACTGGGAGTTGTAAGACAATACACTAACGGACATCTAATTTCTTTCTTTTCATTTCTACTATCATGGGCATTTCAACATGGGCATGTGAACTTGAAGACAACGGTATTCCTCTAGGCATGACATTCACACGTGAAGTTGGCGAAAACAAAGCAGTAACAAACTTTACCAAAGTTTGCTCTAGCATTATTCTGGAAAATCATGCCGCAAACATTCACGTCTTCGTAATTGTCTATTTTATGATGTTCAAAGATAATGAGTGTTTCTGAGAGTGTAATTTGTTCCACTTGTTAGTATAAATTGATTACATCGTCGATGTACAAGAAGATTAGTCTGCCTCCTTGGAATAGTCACTTTCTTTCAGATGATGTGAGCAACACTCTTTACCATCCGTTGTGCAAGTCAGAAATACGATGGATTCCATTTTACTTGGTGCATGTACTACCATAACTATGTTCTTAGTACCTTGATGCATTCAGGGATATTTTTGATAAATGTTTCATTTCAGGGTGAATAAAGTTGGAAAGAACATCTGCAACACTGAAGCAACCTGCAATGAATGCGCCGGTAGAGATGGATGCTTGGAGCTCAAGGAGCTCTGCGCGTCTCTTCCATTCAAAGAAGATTAATGTATTCATCACATTTTGTCTTGCGACAGCAACTAAATGAATCCGTCAAGCAAAGTGAAGTAGAGTTTGTCAAAGTTATGACAGCGACACTTTGCAAAGAAAGAATCTGATAATGATAAGACATGTTTTGAGCTAATAGGTTTAGTGGTATACAGGTGCCTGTTTTCGTCCTATTTAGACTTATCAGTACCACCCTCCCTTTGTTCAGCCGGTCCCCTGAGGTAAAATAATCCTCTAAAGGTGTCGACGCCGAGTAAAAAATCACCCCAAGTCAGGTGATGTATTTTCCTGACATTGTGCTCACCGGCAGTAGGGTACATAGCCGTTGTAATGAATGGAACCTCTTTTATCAATTACTTTTTTATATGCCTGATAATCATTTTTAAAGCCACGCATGTCAGTGGTCTGTCAAGGAGTGCTGACTTATAGAGCCCATACACGTGTTTCGATCTTGCGATCTCGTCAGTTGGGCAGTAACCCTTTCTCCTCTTTTGCTAATCCCTGAGGGTCAGCCCTCCTTGACAGACCACTGACATGCGTGGCTCAAAAAACGATTATCAGGCATATTAAAATTTGAGCTGTGGTCTTAAGAAAACACTCGAATCGAAAGTTATGAAACTGGGTATACCAGCCAAGAGCAATCGAGTTTACAACACTCTATATTCGGTGAGATTTTCACTGGACATAGAGTGTAAAACGTTCGTCGTCGGTAACTCTTCGTGTGGGGACTGGAGCGCCCACAGAGATTAGCAAAAGACAGAAAGGGTAACTGCCCGACTGACGAGATCGCAAGATCGAAATACGTGTATCGGGCTCTATAAGTCAACCTTCCTTGACAGACCACCGACATGCGTGGCTCAAAAAATTATTATCAGGCATATTGAAATTTGAGCTGCGGTCTTAAGAAAACTTCAAAGTATGCAAAACTCGAACGATATGCTTTTTATAAACCAGCTCAAAATGAAATAATCTGATAAGGATACGACATGTGATACATGACGTGACATAGGTATGACTGAACCTAGGGAGGGATACTGATGAGCCCCAATAGGACGAAAACAGGCGCCCGTCTACCACTAGACCTATCAGCTCTAAACATGTTATGTAATTATCAAATTATTTCATTTTGAGCGGGTCTATAAAAAAGCGATCGATGGGAGAACTTTATAAATTGTTAGTGTTGAGATTCGGTAGAGAAGCAAAACTCCTACAGAGCTCATTTGTTTCATCAGTCTTGTTTGAGAGACTATGAAATATGTTTTTGGGCGTTATGACGTTTTGAGAGCACCTCAAATGATACTTAATTCCAGCTCCATACATACGTCACCACTGTTAACTTCGCAAAGGCTAAAATCTAACAAAGGGGATAAAATTTAGCAGAAACGAATTGTTTCAAGGAAGTTTTCTGTTGAACTGTTTTCGCTTTATTGACCTAAAAATAGAATCATCTTGAACAAATGGACGGCCCATTTTCATCAGTTGTGCTAGTCTCGACAAATTTCTCTTCATTTCTTGCCCGCAAGTGTATTATATGATTTTCTATTAATAATACGCCGTTTGTGAATTGCAGTGAGGTGTGTACATATCGCTAGCTTCGAGCACAGCTGAGTATCTCGATTTACGGACTCGTTCACTCAACGTGAAGGTTGTCGCTCTAGGAAATGTGTGCGTCCTAATGTGGTTTACTTTCCCATATTTTTCGTCTATTTATCATCTGTTGTCGTCGTTGTTCTACCATGTCATTTTAGCTTTACTATCGATGCGCAGTGTAGTGGGTCTCGTAGTGTTTTTGGAGGCAAAAAGGTTTCGTCAACAGCTGCCAGATTTGATAAGAAATTTCCACCGAAACGTATAATTAGTCCAACTGAGTAAGTTCATTATCCACAGTGCTGTCGCAGTGAACAGCTTCACCGATCACACTGTTGAATTGTTTCATCTTGACATGGTAAGGGATTGACGTAGGCACCAATATGATGCTGCAGCTTCAATGCAGTCATCTTTACTCAAGCATTCATTACAAGCTGCCCCGACATAGTAGATTTTCCCGCAGACCCTATATCCCGTTGCGGACGATGAGGGCAATATGACCCCAAGCTGGGCACGCCGTCCGCACGGGCTACGAAAAGTGGTGCATGCTCCGCGTGCTCCAATACATATTCGGGTTAATGAAGCTCTCAGAGGAACATTTTTTATCAAGAAACAATATGATATCACCTACGAGGGTCCTGTATGAATGATTTCAGCAAGATTAACGCTAATGCTTCCCAAAATCTTGCCTCTTCAAAGGGATAAACCACATCCTTGCTATAAAAAAGTATATTTTCAACTATTACTGAATAATTTTTCCTATATTCTAGATGTTTTTTGTAGTCAATCGATAGCATGGAAAGTTTTGATTCTAGTACTTAGCTTGTTATTTGAAAAAAATTCCACAGTAGGTTTTAGTAATAAATAATAGATTACGTTTCGCAATCTCAATCTATTGTTTAATTCATAGCAGGTTTTTTGGGATTATATAGTTCAATTTCAATTCTTACGAACTTTCTTTACCAACAAAACCTTGATAATCATAGAAAGAACTTTCATGAACTTAGTTCGTGAATGAATGACCCCAAAGTATCTTACAAATCCTTACTTTTTAGAACAATTTCTGTCACATGCATTATAAGGATTGTGCACGTGAGCTTTTACTTTTTCTAAGAAAGGGACTATTCCACTTGATTATTAGAATTCGTTCGATAGCTGAAATCAAGTATGCCTAAACGGTATATTTTGTTTATCAAATAGTTTGTTTTTTGCGCCGTAACAATCGAGATAATATTTCGTTACACATTTGAGGGTCTCGCAGGATAAAGTTTTTTTCTTTGAACAGTTAGTAATCATTTGATAGTGCAAATCTCAGCAACTACAAAGTCGTATTTTTTTTTAAAGAACTTTTTAGATAGATGTAACAGTTAGAAGAATATTTGTTTTCGCACTCCAAAGGGTACGATTTCGCAACATTGGCCCCAAATCACCGTGTCTTTAGCAAAATAGCAAGTAAATGTGCAACGTAATCTTCTTTTGAGTGCTACATTGCAATGAGGAGTTATTTTCAAGCACGAAAATTTTGTGAAAAGAGTCGAGATTTAAGCTATCGAAAAATTATTACAAGTCTAGCGAAAAACTTTGTTGGACAGGAGATACTTGAGTGGGAAGATTTTTTTATTTCTAGTGTTAGAGCATATTTACGAAGCCATTCAAAAAATGAAGCATGCCATCAAAAGTTTTAAATTTACGCTATCGAATGGCTATTACAACTCTGAAAAAAAAAAACTAGAAAACGCGTCCTTTCCAAGAGGTCAAAACAAAGTGTGTCCATCGAAAATAATCCAAAATTGCGTAATCTAATCTTCTTTTGACTGTTACAGAACTTCGAGAAGTCCTTTCCAAAAAACAGTCCATAGTTGAAATTGGTAAGGCTCGCATTATACAGTGATTAATAACTGCTTATGAAAAACCTTTATGCG